TCACGTTCAGAACTGTGACCAGCGTAACCGAGCCTGAATACTTCAGGCTTTCACTTGTGGAATGTTATTGTTCGGCTTAGGAATGTAATTGTTCGGCTTAGGAATGTAATCGTTCGGCTTAGGAATGCATTGTGTGTCCTGAACTGTGTAAAATATACCTACTAACACGGGATTTGACAAGTCATGGTAATTACATATCTTAGTCTTTCTTTACAGCAAACCTGGCGAAACTAAATACTTTCATTTCACAGTTCATTTGTTTTTGTTATTGCGAAAGGACCTTCTCAAAGCCAGCTAGTGATTGATCCTTAATACATTAATATTAAACATCTTTCTGTCGAACTGGATGTGTCGAACTTCTGGTTGACTCGAATGTCCGGGTTAGAATGAACCTTCAGTAACCAATGCTTGTCGTTAGAGGCAACTAACGGGATCGGGTGGTCAGGCTCGCTGACTTGGTTGGCACATGTCATCGGTTCCCCATTGCGCAGATCGATGCTCATGTTGTTGATCACTGAACTGTCTCGTCCAGACTCGATTATTTACAGACCACCGCCATATAATTGGGAGTATTGCTGAGTGCGGCGCAAAACTAAACTCACTCACTCACTATCTCTTTATCCTGTATTGTGATCGTCACCCATTAAAGTGTGATCACCATTCATTGTGGTCATCGTTTATTGCGATCACAGAAGTGATCGCTTGCTATCTATTTAGAAACATGGCATATATTCAGTAAAGAAGTTGTAAATAAATAAATCTTCTAAGTACCGCTTTAAGGGCTATCCATTTAGATATGGTTACCATCTATTTAGCCCTCGACACTATTCATTTAGCTGTCATTATGTCCATTTTGTTATGATCACTATCTATTTTGTACACTGGGCTGGACCACTATCCATGATATTGCAGCCAAGGCTGGGTGGAGGAACACTTAGGATCGAGTTGCAGTCGTTTGATGATCGCGGAGACATATTGGGAACTTTTGTGAATCAGCAATCAATTCCAGAAAGTTTACTGCCATTTTACAACCCGTGAAGGTCGGGGCTAGAACGTATCTTCACTAACCCATGATTGTCGTAAGAGGTGACTAACGGGGTCAGGTGGTCAACTTGCCGGCTTGGTTGACAGATGTCATCGGTTCCCAATCGCGCAGATCGATGCTCATGATGTTGATCACTGGATTGTTTTGTCGAGATTTGATTATTTACAGGCCGTCGCCATATAATTGGAATATTGCTGAGTGCGGCGTAAAACTAAACTCACTCACTCACTATCATTTTTACAATTAAAGCACTTCCATACGTATATATAGGTATGTTCTGCTCAAACAGTACGGTATGTAAATTCCTGATCGAAATAAAGTCTAGGGTTGATAACGTTTGAATTTGCTGGACAAGTCCAATTTTCAGGGGCGTACATTGTACTTTCTTCCGCCGGGCTGTGTATATGTAATTTCAGCCCTCATTCCCACACACGGTTGAGTGAAGACAGTTCGTGTCAGAAGGACATATAATAACTGGAATACGCTCGAACCAAGACCAGCTGAACAAGCAGAACCAGTTATTGTGACAAAGAGGGATGTCTGTTTTGGAAACACAATATTATAACATTGCACATTTTGCAAATGACGTGATGATAGTGCCTGAAGGATCCGATGTTGTTTCCAATGTTAAAGTTTGTTTATTTGTTTACTTGTTGTTTAACGCCGCACTCCGCTATATTCCAGATATATTGCGGCGGTCTGTAAATAACTGAGTCTGGACCAGACAATGCAGTGATCAATCAACATCATGAGCATCTATGTACGTAATTTGGATACGATGACATGTGTGAACCAAGTCAGCGAACCTGACCACCCAATTCCCTTTGTCACTTCTTAGGACAAGCAGTAGTTTCTTTATGTATAAATGTTAGAATATTGCCCTAGTTAACAGCTCTATGGACATTAGATGATGACCTCTCTGTCCTGCGGTCCTAACCCGACTCTACGAGATTCGGACAGATTAAATCACCCCCTCTGAGACACATGTTCATTGAAGTTTTCTTCTCCTCCACAACACAAAGCGTTCATAGAATTACTTTTCTTCAGCAGAACATGTCGCCTACATATGCACTATTAAAGTAGGTCACACGGTGTATGGTAATCTCATTAACGGAATATTTCTATCGAGTATTCAAAGTTTACGAGTTATGGCACACTCAGCAATGACGCCGAAGAGTCCCCTTAGGAATTACCCACACACGCCTACCCAAAATACCGTTTAAAAATATGCATGAAATAAGAATGTTGTAAGCTTCATTTACCACTTTCGGAAAGAATCGTATTCCGCTCTTTGGATTTCGTGAAAGCAAATAGAGGAGCGAGTACTGGCTTTACCCCGTCACCAGTAAATAGGCCATGAACGCAAACACGGGAAAGGGTCAGTGATTGACGATAAACTGTCAACACAGAGTTTTAAGCTAGTCGCGGTTGTGAAGGTTTGACATAGATCAAAAAGGGAAATGATGTATCAAAAGTGCAATAAGTGTACATGATGTGATCTTATTTACACTTATTGACCTTTAATGTCATGACGGCAATGAAAGACGCCAAGACAGGCAACCACAAGCGACATCAGTGCAAGGCAATAAAGCCGCTGAGATGAATATTTTGCAGTTTCTTATTCTATTTGCGCTGTTCTATTAAAACTAATCTAATTTTGTATGTCTCCGATTTCAACCTCGTTACGCCAACACGGGACCTTCAATGTCGACTGAAGGTGGCAGGAAACGCCTCTGAGTGCACAACAATGTAATCACTAAGATAAATATACTGAAAGGCAAAAGAAACGTCGTAATATAAGAAATGACATTTGAGTATCAATGGAGTATTTGAACCTATTTTTTTAAATATACACCAGAAGTCAAGTTTGAGGAAACATGAATCGTGGTCGTATAGCCTGCAGTGCCCAATAAAGTATTGTTTGAGATTGAAGTTAGAAATGTTTTTGGTTTTTGGAGAGGGAAAAGTTCCCACAAACACAACATTGAAATCGAGATGCACATGCATCATAAATGCATTCAGGCATCAATTGCCGGCTTGAATGGCAATCGTTCACTTTTTTCTGAAAAAATGCAGCTATGACTAGGTTAACGAGAGATCAACCACAACAAGCTATTGGACGTCTGCACGCTGGTCAACATGCTCGAGTCATTGCTAATGATTTCAGTTGCAGCGTACGAACGATAGAACGTCTTAGAGTCGCGATATAACGCCAACAGCAGCACTGATGACCGTCCACGTAGTGGAACAACCCCGTAACAACACGCCGCCAGGACCGTCATATCGTCCATCAACACGTGCAAGACCTATCCGCAAGGGCCAGAGAAACAGCTTGGGTGACCAGAGGAAACCACCAGCGACCAGTCAGTGACCTACCATTCGGCGACGTCTCCAAGCCAGGAACCTGTTTTGTCGATGTCCTGCCAGGAGACCCATATTCACCCAACGTCACCGCCGGGAACGTATCCAAGTGGACACAACAGCGGCAAAACTGTCGTGGGGGACAATGGAGAGGGGTTATCTTCTCTGATGAAAGTCGGTAGTGCATTTCAGTGGCGTATTCTGTAAAAAAAAAGGTTCAAATGTTCCATTGATACTCAAATGTCATTTCTAATATTACGACGTTTCTTTTGCCTTTCAGTATATCTTGCAGGTCCTGTTGGGTTTATTATCAGTTATTATCAGTCCACATCGATCACTGGGTTGTCAGGTCATCAACAGGTCGCTGGAAACAATGTCGCTGAGTGAGGCTTCAAACAAGACACAGACCACATGACTCAATATTCAGGCTGTTACCTCCTTCCAACAATCTCTGCATTTGGCCGAATTGCTCCTTAACTTGACGGGGCTGTGTATTATGCAAGTGTGCACCCACTTCGCTATTCTAAGGGTCCGTGAAGATTCGGGTCAGAATTGATTTTCAGAAACTGAATTTACTGATGCATGTCGCTGAATCCAATTGCGAAGATCGATGCTCATGATGTCAATCACGGAACTGAGGACCCATGTGTGGAATCGAACCCGGGAATTCAGCATGACGGGCGTTTGCTTTAACCCCGATCTTATGGAGCCATCAAACAAAACAAACTCACTTCTACTCTTGTTCTGCAGTAACTGGTGTAGTCTCTACTGCTGAAGGTAATAACACTGCTCCTATTTGACCATACGTATTCATCTTTGTCGACACCGACTTTTCATAGTGTCATCCGTCAGTGGAACAGCACTCCAGCCTAAATAGAGGGTCGCCGTCTTTCGCAATCCAAGACTGACGGGATCAGGTGGTCAGGCTCGCTGACTTGGTTGACACATGTCATCGCATCCCAGTTGCGTAGATCGACGCTCATGTAGTTGATCACTGAATTGTCTGGTCCAAACTCGATTACTTACAGACTGCCGTGATATGGCTTAAAAATAGCTGAGTGCGGCGTTAAACAAATAAGCAAACCAGATGTTCTTGTTATCAATCACATGTTTGTCTTGTCAAGTCCCTCGAGTCACATATCTGTAACTTACTGCCTTAACAACAAACAACTATCATGTACGTTAATGAATAGGTGAATATACAGTGGACATAAGGGAGACAACTCTTTGGACGACAGTAATCCAAACATATAACAAACATGCTTACCAAGACCACTTGCTCAGAATTGTAGTGGAAATAAGTATAACGAACACAGGTTATAGTAAACTAAAAATGGGGGTCGCCTAAGTTCGTCATAACCGTAGTTAACTGTGTGGCTTTTAGCAAGAACTAATGGACAGGGTATATTCAAATACGTTGAATCATTGGAGCTGAATTAATGGACTGGTATCGTCAGTAATACATAGAATTAATGAACACGGTATTATCAGTAATACGCCGAATGAATGGGTATGGCATGGTCAGTAATAAGCTGAATGAATGGACACTGTATTGTCAGTAATAGTGAGTGAGTAAGTTAAGATTTAACGTCACATCGGCAATACTTCAGCCACATCGTGACGAGAACATATTTGACATTGAAATGTATTGTCAGAAATAAGTTGGATTAGTGGACTTTGCATTGTCAGTAATACGTTGATTTACTGCACATGGTATTGCCTTTAATAAGTTGATTTACTGGACATGTTATTGTCTGTAATACGTTGATTTACTGGACATGGTATTGTCTTTAATAAGTTGATTTACTGGACATGGTATTGTCTTTAATAAGTTGATTTACTGGACATGGTATTGTCTTTAATAAGTTGATTTACTGGACATGGTATTGTCTTTAATAAGTTGATTTACTGGACATGGTATTGTCTCTTTAGAGACTACTATTGTAACAGTTTTTTGTTTCAGAGATATGTTATTGTAGCAGTATTTTGTTACAGAGGTACATTATTGTAGCAGTATTTTGTTACAGAGATACATTATTGTAGCTGTATTTTGTTACATAGGTACATTATTGTACATAGCAGTATTTCGTTGAAGAGATACATTATTATAGCAGTATTTCGTTACAAAGATACATTATTGTACATAGCAGTATTTCGTTGAAGAGATACATTATTATAGCAGTATTTTGTTACATAGATACATTATTGTAGCAGTATTCTGTTTCAGAGATACATTATTGTACATAGCAGTATTTCGTTGAAGAGATACATTATTATAGCAGTATTTCGTTACAAAGATACATTATTGTACATAGCAGTATTTCGTTGAAGAGATACATTATTATAGCAGTATTTCGTTACAAAGATACATTATTGTACATAGCAGTATTTTGTTACAGAGATACATTATTGTAGCAGTATTTTGTTACATAGATACATTATTGTACATAGCAGTATTTCGTTGAAGAGATACATTATTATGGCAATATTTTGTGACAGAGATACGTTATTGTAGCAGTTCATTTTGGCAGAATCACATTATTGTACCAGTTTATAATTGCATCCCTTTATCGATGATGCCGTATGTTCTAGCTGCGCAGTAGACAGTGGTACCCGCATCCTCAGGACAACCAATCACCACACAGACTTTCAGATGAAGGTGTTCAAATTCGCTGGGAACTACAACATAGTGTACATCACATGTGACGTCAGAGTCAGTCCAGTCATGGATAACTCTCCTCCTGCCAGCAGACCTGCACATCGTCCGGGAAGAGAAACAGTGAAAGAAACACAGGGCAGAACAGAGTTAGGTTTGGTCCTGTCGTAGTAGAGGACCTACCTGTCAGCTGAGACTGTTGTCAACGTGTGTAGTGGCTACAGGCCCTCGTGCCTTTGCGAGGATTAAAAATTAAAAATATAAAAAAAGTTCTTTATTTTAATGTTTAATCCTCCCAAAGACACGAGGGTGTCGACCGTTAAACAAGGGATTGCGTACACAACGTTTGCTAATAAACAGATCTAGTATTGAGTATGCCTGACATGTTCCAGTTTTTACCTTTTTGCACATCATATACTGCTGTTATTGTCTGCCGTGAAGTCGGAATGTTGTGATAGCTTGGGATTGTGGCCTACTCCATACAGATAAGATAAGATAATATTTTATTTAAGTGTCACATGATATACATTACTAAAAAAAAGTGTCAAACAGAAAAAAGGGTTAAAAAGTATACCATCCGGCCATAAGGCTTACGAGACACTGTCACAGATAGATATCATGAATAAAATCGTAAATAACGATAAAATACATGTATGCTTATGGACCACTGAGGTGCTGTGCATGCTCTAACTCTATGACATCGGCAACATGGCAGCCCACCCCACCCACCCCTCTCTCTCCCTGACACACGCACTTGGCCATGATCACTGCGGTGGGGAGGAGTGGGGGAGAAAGAGTGAGAGAAGGAGGCAGCGGTCGCGGGCGGGTCCCAAGGTGAGCCGCCACAGTACCAATGACACAGAGCCAGAACATACATTTGATGCTGGAAATAGGGTAGTAATTGAGAAAAGTATTTATATTGCAGAGTGGAGTTTCCTCCATTTATAAAAAGCAGTTACAACTACGCACGCACCACCACGCCACGCCCCACCCCACCCACCCACCCTCTCTCCCCTGACACACGCACTTGGCGTCAAGCATATAAATTGATCTTTGTGTATTTTACAACAGATGCTGGAATCAGTTGAGGAAGCCAACTTGAACAATTCGTAGCATAAATCGGAATAAAATTCACACTCAGTCAAAAAATGTATCTCATCTTCAACGCGATGGCTGTGACAAAGCTTAACTGCACCACTTCTATCTCCAAAGGGAGAGAACTGCAACGTAATTTGGCCCACATGCTTCTGTGTTGCCTATCTATAATAACGCGAACATAACACGATGTATGTAAAGAGGTCTTGAAACGTCTAAACGTTCTCAGCCTATTTCCATTAACGTGGCCAGTGTCATCACAGACATCGTGTAACGATTTTTCTGAGTCGAGTGTAGTCAGTTTACTTTCAATTGGTCACGTAATGAATAGTTGATTAAATAAAATATACTCTAATCTGTTTGGTCAATAAGAGGTCTGAAATCGCAATGACAACCCGTGATGCAGCGCATTTGGTCCCTCAAAATAATCAGCAGCCGCACTGAGTGGTTAAATGTGGACACCGTACACGGACACAGGCGGCGTATAGAGCATTTAGAATCTATTGACAGTATGAATTACAGAATTAGTGCCAGTCCCAGAACATTGATGGACCTAATGTTTTAGGTGTAAACATTGTAAGATTTCCACAGTACTCAATGAGTGATTGAGTGAGTGATATATTTGGGTTTAACACTTCAACGACTATCCTATCTCTGTAACAAAAAAACCAAAAAATTCAAAGAGATGGTGTGATGCCCATTTTCTGGTGTCCCCGCCGTGTTATTGCTGGAATATTGCTACTGCGGCGTAAAACAAAACTCACTCAAACATTCAAAGAGATGATACCCAATTGTCAAACTTATAAAAAGGGCATCTATAGTTATTCCTAGTGAAAATAACGTGGTATGAATCAAAATAGGTATTATAGAAATTGAGACAGATTAATAAAAAAGAAAGATTAAAGGTCACATGCAACCAAAAAATCAAACATAATTAAAATACAATTATCACTTATTCATGACATATAATATACATTGCTGGTTACGAAAAAATATGTAAACAAAATTATAAGCGTACAATCGCAAATCGAAAGTGCAAAATTGTGTACTTCGGTTTACTTCCCAAGAAACGAAGCAGCCGGGATACCGAACCCAGTCAGAGCGGGTGGGTGTGCACTCAAGTGTAACGGCTGGTTCATTTGCAGATGCCTTCACGGCTAATTGTGTGTATATATAGAGAGATGTTGGGTTTTGTAAATACATGCTCATTTTTTGTGTATAACATTTGGAAATAAACAGACATCATAACATGTCATGTGTACAAGTATCACACCTGCCTGTCTGTGTAATTACATAATGTGACAGAGACCGAACTCGTGCCATAAATCAATGCATTTTGTTTATGGTGTATAGCCTGATTGGTGTTAAGTTCAAATTGCATGTGGTCAGTGATAGCAGCTGTGTATTGAATATTGTCATTAGCAGACAGGCAGGTAGACACACAGGTGTCAATAAAACAAGACATTGAGTTTTGTCTGTGACAACGACATATCTGTATCACAGTTAGAAATTCTGTCAACGCTAAATAATGACATTGCTTTTAAGTATCGAACTGAGAAAGTGTCTCGGTAAGAAGAACGTGTGGTGAAATAGACAAATGAAATTATATAAACAGTTAATTTACTGTCATAACATATAAAAAGCTCACGCCTGTGAGATATCAACAAAACATTAGAAAAATAGCTCACACCAAAGCCTTCACCGAGTATTCACCCGACAACCCGCTTCCAAGCTGCGCGAACCTATTTACTTGCGCACGTGCTATGAGCGCAGCCCAGCTGTTGAAACCCGTTTTCCCCAGAAAAGTCTGGGGAAAATTAGTGAAACGTTTGAACTCCGATTTCGCGCGTTATTTTTCATCGCGTTATTTTTCAACTTTATAAGTTGAATTTGCATTTTTGACGATTTGTTTCGGTATGTCCATACCAAAAGGTATCAGAATCTGCAAAGTTGTGTTTTACGTTGCATGTGACCTTTAATAAAATCACTGTAATGTGACTTTCCCATTCGAAACTATTTGTAATAGAACGTAATTGTTAATTGTACATGCCAAGTTGAAAAGGATGGATCATTTCTAAACTCAAATGCACATTTGTCTGGTACTAACCTGTAGTGACATCTTTTGTGACCTAAACAAATCATATATTCTATCTTATACTGTGTTACTTCCAGAAAACAAGCGATCATCAAAAAAATTTGTAAGATAGAAAGGGGGAGAGACAAAACATGGTCACATGTTATTCCCCAGTCCGGTGGAAAGAGTGCCTGCCAGTAGAGAAGAACGTCGGAGGTTCGATCCCAAGGCTTCTTCAAACCAGAAGTCGTTGCCCTTCCGCTCAGGGTGGCGCTCGGGATTTACAGATTGTAGTATGCTAGTATGCTGTGTCTGTCTGAAGCTAGCACCACAATACCAACATCAGTCCGGACGAGTATACGCAGTCAGTCACACACGCACGCACGTACATACGCGCGCACGCACACGCACGCAAGCACGCACATACATACGGGCGCACAAACACCTCTTCTTATTATATAATCTTGACATTGCTATTTTTCACCACTTTGAAACGGTAAATATTAGACCTCTCCTTACAGAAACAAGTACAGGACTCGCTTAGCAGTAGACATTTGTTTGCAAGAGGATCCTTGTAAAGAATCCCTGAACACTGCGTGAAGTCCGTGTTTTAACGAAATTCTGTTTATTGGTGGAACAACAATGAAAATGGAAAATACCAAAAAAAATGACGAAAAATGTTATCTATACAAAGAGCATATACATCTTTAGTCGGACATTTTAAACTCCACACCTGCTGTAGCTTTTAGCATATATAATTATCCGTGTTTATCACACAAAACACAACTAAGTGATAAAACACAACAACCCAAAACCAATTAAACAAAATAAACAAAAATATGATTATGCACCTGTACATAATCAGTCTTAGAATGTTTCGTCCCTTGTAACAAGAGGAGATAAATCAGTATGAACATTACACAGTATCAACAAAGATTCCCCTAATTCACAGTACAGTCGGTTATTTTCACATTACGAAGTCTTTCATAAATACAAATAACGCTATGATTACTTGGGTTAAAGGCACCAAATCACACCATACTTCCCTCAAAGTATATAATGCATACTTCTCCATGATATTATCAGCCTTCAGGGAAGCTACCATATAGAATTTATGGACACTCGAGCCCTCTACCGGCGGAACAATATTTCAAGGGAACCCCATAGGGTTATGTTCCTTGAAGTGTTCTTTATGAATGACATGTGATTGAAACCAGTTTGACAAACACCGACAACACCGCGTGCGACAGTTGCTTACATTCCATATATGGAAAGTGTTCTCTGTTTGCAATCTGTTTGCTTCGAAATTTCAATTATCGTTTTCAGGCAAGTCGTAAGGGATAATACATCTTTTGTTGCGTGAATAGGAAGCTAAAGTGAGTACATGTGCCCCAATTAATATGGGCAAAATATTGTCGAAAATGTTTGACTTTGTGCCTTTAATTACAATATTACCATAAAGGCTAACACTGATACACGCAACGTGACTTCAACTATGTGAACAAATACAAATACACCCATAAAACACAAAGTAATTGAAACACATTCACATAGTACAACTAATTAATATTTGGACTGTTTACAGGAGAGGGAACCCTGGGCACGGTGTTATCATGTGATTCCGTTTCGTTGTGGAGTGCTTGTGACCTGATGATAACAATTTGGAGATTTAACGTGCGGGTCCAGATAACACGCGTCTTTTGCGCGCGGATTTGCAACTGTTATTTATTATTATTGGATATTTATAAAGTGCACATATCCACGAACTAGTGCATGCTCAAGGCGCTGGTATTTTTTCCCTCGATCATTGGATGTCAATCTCAACGGCACATCTTATTATCAGTCTCAGCTCCCTGGAGAGTATACAACTCTTGCTGCCACAAGGCGCACCGAGTTATTGTGGCTTTCCCATCCATACGAGGTACCCATTCACAGCTGGGTGGACACAGTCACAGTACTTTGTCCACGTTTACTGCACGTTGCTGTACCGGCAGCTAGGTGTTTGCACGTATTCATGTGGCCACCATCTGGTCATATACCAACGGATTCGTGGGTTCTTTTAAGTGCACAGGGTTGTGCGCTGTACACTAGGGGTTGTGACAACACTGAAAGAGTCTGCACACAAAACTGACTCCAAGGTTTTTACACCCGGTCACAGGTGGGCTTGATCCCGGCACCTCATGCTCGCTGAATCACTATCCTGGCACCTTAGCCACCTCGCCCACCACGCCCCCGTGGTTGGTGTTAGTTTGTTGTTTAACACTGCACTCAGCAATATTCCAGCTATATTACGACGGTCTGTAATTAATCGAATCTGGACCAGACAATCCCGTGATCAGCATTATGAGCACCAATCTAATCATTTGGCGAGTGAGTGAGTGAGTTTAGAATTACGCCGCACTCAGCAATATTCCAGCTATATGGTGGTGGTCTGTAAATAATCGAGTCTGGACCAGACAATCCAGTGATCAACAGCATGAGCATCGATCTGTGCAATTGGGAACCGATGACATGTGTCAACCAAGTCAGCGAGCCTGACCACCCGATCCTGTTAGTCGCCTCTTACGACAAGAATGGGTTCCTGAAGGTTCATTCTAACCCGGACCTTCACCGGTTACTCATTTGGGAACCGATGACATGTGTCTTGTTCTGCCTGTCGTTTCTTTTCTTCATCCAGACGTCTCTTTTCCTCTCCTTCCTTTTGTCTCAGTTCTACGGCTTTTAGTTGTCTTCTCAACTGATCAGCTTCGTCCCTTTCTTTACGTTCTTTTTCAAATTGTTTCACCATTTCTTGCATTTGAATACGCTGTCTTTTTAACTCTTCTTCCAAGGTAGCGGCTTCTATTTTCAGTTTCTCCTCGAGTAGCATCTGCCTCTTTTCTTCAAGTTTTTCGATCTTCTCAGCTTCCCGAAGATCAGCTTCACATCTCTCGTACATCTCATTTGTTTAGCATTCGCCTACATTTCCGTCAACCATGCATCTTACCTTGTCTATGAATTCTTTGGTAAATTTCTCCTTTTCTTCATTCGTCCCTCTGTTGTTGACAGCAATAAAACGAAGACTTGTATCAAACAGAAACTGCTTCAGTGTCGTTGGAACATCTCCAAGATAGCTGTCAATTGTGTCACTGGCCTCTTCCAAGTCATCCTTCCCAGTAAATACAACAATGGCGAATCTTTTAGCTCCTTTTCCAAAGCACTGCAGGAATGTTTCCAGTGTATTTTTGTCTTCTTCGGTGAATCTTCCTATTCTCACAATGAAAAGAATGGCGTGTATTCCAGGAGATGACATACCCACACATTTCTTCATTCTTGATGTCTTCATGTGATTTGTTTGTGTCACAAAAGCCCGGGACATCAACAAGTTGCAACTCGTGCCCAAAACGTTTGAAGAAATGCTGTTTACATTACTTTGTAACAGACATTGCCCTCACTAATGCTTGGAATATCTGTGCCCCCTTTCCGGCTCCACATATTGTATTTCCAGTTTCACTTTTACCTACTCCAGTCTTTCCAACAAGTACCATTCGAATTTCCCTCTCCAGAAAACCGGAACCTTTTCCTGTGAAGGAGAATAGCGGTCCTAACACACTCTACTTAGCAAAACATTAATTATATCAGTTGACTGCAAATTGAACTTCTTGATAAGAACTGTTTCTAAGCGTTATTTTTAAGGCACTCATTATAGTGGACCTATTTCAGACTTTTATAGCCAGATCATTCATTTGGAACGTGTGTGTGTCATTGCAAAAAGAGAACCCATTGCAAAATATTTGTATCAGTGTGTCTGTTTCTTGTTCAGTATGGTAGGTTTGTTGTTTAATGCCCCACTCAGCAATATTCAAGCCATATGGCGGCAGTCAGTAAGTAATCGTAATCAAGACCATCATGTGATCAAAAGCATGAACATCGATGCAATAAAATGTGTCAACCAAGTGAGCAATGAATGCCGTTAGTCACCTCTTACGACAAGCATGGGTTGCTCAAGACGAATTCTGACCCGGATCTTCATTGGTTTCAAAACAGTATGAGGGTTCTGATCTCAACAGTAGTACTTGATCTCGAAGCTCGCTAATTCCTGACTGCTTGATGAACTAATGATCAATGTAAATTGGAAAGTATGGCCTGCCTCAAACGATACCACAGTAATGTAAACCGGGTAAAAGAAAGTTATCACTGATAAATGTAATTGTACATAAAACGAAAACAGGTTTGAACCCAAGCACAAGTCATTCACCAAAATGTAACATGGTCCCTGTAACAGCGAAGCTGTCCGAAAACTTCGAACGAATCGATGTTGGACAGAGCAAACATGCAGTAATCAAAACACCACCACGAATATTCCAAACTTTGCGCAAGCACAACGAGACAGGGCAATCGGTATGGCCAATATGGGGGCTTCACAACGTCAGCTGGCAAGGACTGTATCCTGACCACCATCAGCAAATTGATAAACTGCTGCCAGCAAACAGACCATACCAAAGACCACCTAAGATAGGGAAGACCAAGAGTCACGACACCAGTCGAACACCGGTAACACCGGCAGATTCACCTCCGGAACAGATTCGTTACTTAGATTGCACGAGGACATGCTCTCAGCAGGTGAACAGTCCTTTGACGTCTTGGTGTGGATGGAATACAAGCCTGACCCATCTACACCGTCAACGCAGACTGCAATGGGCACGAACTGTACGTCGGTGGCAAAGACGTGACTTAGCGAGAATACTCTTCACAGCTGGTTCGGTACAATGGCAGAGTTCGAGTTCTACAGGACAGCGACTGGCGCCAAAAATCTCATCCATTCGATGGTGGAGGCGTCATGGACGCATTTGTGGCCAGAGAATAATAAGACTGCTTATCATCTAAAGATGTTGCCCAGCGGGATGAAGTGTTCTTTTAAGTGCCCTTTGTGCGAACCAAGAGTCAAGAGGAGTCATTTTGCAGCACGACCACGCAAGGCCTCACAACCCCAACAGTCTCTCTTGGATGTATGGAACAGGAATCGTGCTGACGTCATCCGCCGACTGACGACGTCAATAGAGGAGACGTGCTCGGAGTGGTGTCCCAGACTCCTGTCTCATTATGCGACTCTTTATACACTTTTTGAATAGACCTTGATTTGCATATTAATATTTAATTTTGACCCCTTGACTCGTTCCAAATGAATTGTGGCAAATGCAAGACCGACATTACAATACGTTTTCAGTTAATTTATTGGGAAATGATTCCTATTTGTAAAAGAATTATTATAAAAAATCACACACGTCTTTGTTTCTAATGTTGGTAAAGTGAAGTCGGGATAACTTTCTTTCAACGCAGCAACATTGTATAACTGAAGCAAACAACTGGATAGGAAAATACCTTTGTAGGCCATTGTGAAGGGTGTTGTCATCTGAACAATCTGAAAATGATATGAACACAACTGTGTTTATCATTGTTCAGTTATCAAATAGTAGACTTTGCCCATGTGTGAAAAGCAGAGCGATAACTGTTTATATTGACTTATTCTAGACACATCAACCCTTGCTTCTCAATAAATATTACTGATACATACAGCCAACCAGAAAAATGAGTGAGTGAGTTAGTGAATGAGTATGGTTTTACGCCGCTTTTAGCAACATTCCAACAATATAACGGCGGGGACACCAGAAATGGGCTTCACACATTGTATCCATGTGGGGAGTCGAACGCAGGTCATCTGTGTGACGAGTAAACGCCTTCATCACTAGGCTACCCCCACCGCCCCTCCAGTGATAATATATACTTTTCCAAATAGTATACTATTTAAAAATGAACACACACACACACCCCAAAAAACAAAAAAAAAACACACTTTGCAATGGCCACACATACAGTATTAGGCGTTGAAGAATATTTCCTTTACATAACGTTTAGACCCATATCCCGTACTGTATTTGCGATACTGTACATATACTCTCCCAAAAAAGAAACTCATATAGGAATTTCAACTGTATTTTTATGTTTATTTTGAAACATCTAGTAGGCTTTATATGTCAATGAAATATAGCGAAATTGCACACTGGGAATGCAGACTTATCCGTCTGTGGCACCAATTCGAGGAAAGTCAGTTTGAGTGTCACGTGGAGACGTGTGGTGGCGCTGAAGTCAATACCTCGTGTGACCACCGTGGGCATCCAGAACTGCACAGCATTGCCTCGGCAGCGAACGAATAAGTTTCAGAATGTCGTGTTGCCCAATCGCAGCCCACTCTGCCTGTAGTGCCTGTGCGTGTTGCTGAAGTGTCTGGGGCTGAGGGTTACAGCGTCGCACCCGTCTGCCCAGGGCATCCCACAGATGTTCGATTGGGTTTAAGTCCGCGATCTTGAGGGCCGGGGGAGCACACTGATGTTGTGGTTCTGGAGGAAGTCTCTAGTGTGACGTGCTGTGTGGGGCCTGGCATTGTCCTGTTGTAACAACTCCCTCTGGCGATAAATGATTGGAAGGATGTGTGGGCGTAGGATTTCGTCACAGTACCGTTGAGCTGTCAGGTGGCCCTGGATACTCACCAAATCACTTCTCCTACGGCAGGTGATCTCTCCCCACATCTTAACACTGTCCCGGCCGAATCTGTCCACCTGGGGAACGCAAGCGTCGGCGAAACGTTCACGTCGACGTCTGTACACCCGCATTCTTCCATCGCGTCGTTCCAATAGAAATCGTGATTAAACAAGATTCTACGCCAATTCGGTAGGTTCCAGGCCTGAACGTTAGTGCACCATTGAACTCGATGTCGACGATGTTGTTGTCGAAGCACAGGGCCAAAATAAGGTCTTCTGGCACGTAAAACAGCATCTCTCAACATGTTCCTGGCGGTCTGTGCAGAAAGCCTCCTCAATCCGGGTATATGTCGAGCGGTACTGGTGGCCGTAGCTGTTCGATGACGCTGGTGATGTTCTCGGATGTAGCGATACTGAGCCGCAGTGGTCGCTCGAGGTCGCCCACTATGAGGGGCATCTGCTACCGAATTCTGCCGGCGATATCTCTCCCAGAGCCGTGAAATGGTGCTTTGGTGAACATTCATGCGTCCGCCAACTGCACATTGAGACTGACAAGCTTCAAGCAAACTAATAGCGATATGATGGTTGGCTTCACTTAAACAATATTCGAAATACAGTGAATAATCAACAGACAGCGATCAACCTTTTATAATCATCATTGAGACTATATGATCCCCAACTTTCACGTGCATTGCATGTGAATTGTGTATTCTGTGACACTACAGGCCGAAATTGAAAATCATGCTTTTAAATACGGGTATTTTACGGATGGCGCGTTTTGTTGTGATGTTTCAAAACATAAACACCATAGGACTCATAAACAGAGCAAAACCTTTTGTAAAATGAATCATTGATACATGAAATTGCTATTTTCATGATGCGTTTCTTTTTTGATAGAGTATATTATCTTATTCACGTCAACGATTATCTCCCTTGCCCTTATAGTTCTTCACCGCATCGTGTGTTAAGTTAAAAACGACTACAAGAGACATCGCGGTGTCATGGTTTCATGAACATGAAATGAAGTCTCTCATGTGGTTTCATGCGAATGCAGTACCTTTTGCATACCTGTATAATGAGAACATGTTAAGTGAGTTTTGATATAGCTATAAATACATGTAAGGTTATGCCAGTTCAGTCAAAAAGAACACCACAACTTACTAGTGTCAGTTAAACCTTAACGTGTGAGACACTTCATCCCACGATGGCTGAAGTATGAAATTCGTAACTCTGAGCTTGGAACTCCTAGATGCCTCCTTGTCTTGGCTATTACGTACTGTTAAGCTTCAATTTACATTATGTTCAATAGTGAGTTTAGTTTTACGCCGCTTACAGCAATATTCCAGCAATATCACGGTGGGGAACACCAGAAATCGGCTCCACACATGTCTCTTATGCTCAATGGAAATGTTCATAGTTTAAGAATATTAGGATAATTCATCGCATGGTTGAATAGTGCAAGGTTAAATAAATGTATTTGATAAGTGGTTAAATATTTAGTTTACATCTTGTAACAGTAAAGTTATCAGCACTACTCACCAGCTATGTGCTAACTGTGCCCTAGTCCAGCTTCAATTACAATGCGGCGTGTTACCACCTCCATTTGGTATATACTGACAGCCTTCAGTTACAAGTCGTTACATGACCAGACCAACCAATAATGTGCGCAAATGCGTCATATGTTTGTTCAGTACAATAGCCCCATGTGTTATGTGACATACAAGCGTAGTCTAGAGTGTTCGCTTGTCACGTCGAAGACCCAGGTTCGATTCCACACATGGATATTGTGAGTGAACCCCATTTCTGGTGTTTCCCGCCTCGACATTCATGGAATATTCCTAAAGGCGGCGTAAAACTAAACTCACTCACTGTAACACACGATGTCCTTCTAAAGACAGGCAGATAAAATATGTTCAGTTTTCTACCTAACACCACCAATGGCACCACTACCACCACAACGACAGCTAGTACTGCCACTTTGTTACTAACAACGTTACTACTGCTACTAGTTATTTTGATGCGTATTGACGTTTTGATTCCGGTTATCACAGGAATCGTTAATGAAAGTGTGAGTTGATGGTCTGTAGTTTATGACTTCATTAGAAGCTTGACTTGGATTCATCAGAATTAAAAACTACAGACCTGTTAAGGTCCGTGTGTCTTCACTTCCATGTCAGTATGATCTTATGGACAAATTTTAGCCTGCATACAGAAGGGGTCATAGCTATGAATCTGCACTACTCCGTGTTCTCAATGATTTGCAAGTTGCTGTTGATAATGGACAAGTTGGACTACTTGTATCCCTGGACCTGTCTTCACCGTTTGCCACGATAGACAACGAAAGACTCATCAGAACACTGGAGAATAACATTGGTGTGATTGGAACCGCCCTCAGCTGGAATTAATCCTATCTGTCCAACCGAATACAAACTGTGATTGTCAGGGTCACACATCAGATCAGAGTGTTCTCAGTATGGCGTTCCACAGTGGTCAGTTCTGGGCCCTATTCTTACCCTGTTTACGTGTGAGCTTGGTCAACTGATTGGTGTCAATGAGGTAGGTCATCACTTGCATGCAGATGACTCTCAGTTGAATCGTCTAAACATGGAGGTCTGCATTGATAACATAAAGCAATGGATGAACACAGATATGCCCAAGCTGAATGACAGCAAGAAGCTTTGCTAGTGGGAACTCGTACCAATCGTGTGAAAGTGAAGGAAGCTCAGATATGTGTGGGGGGAAGTCTGACATTCAGTTTTCAGACAAAGTCAAGAACCAGGGTTTCCTACTTGACCATGGACTCTCCTTGTAAGCAAACATCAGTCAGACGATAAGGTCCTGTCACTGCCAGCTACGAAACATCGGGGCTATCAGACATCTTCCTCCCACAAATGCGGTCCATGCTCTTGTGCGCTTTTTTGGTGTTATATGCACTACTGCAACAGTATGGCCAACATATCAAACGAGCAACTCCAGAGGTTGCAACGTTTTGAAAACACAGCAGCCAGGATTGTGATGAGGAGCAAGAAATCATTCAACATAACTCCATTTCTAATCCAGCTTCACTGGCTTCCTGTTCAAGCCAGGATTAAATACATGATACCATCCTTAGCTTATCAATGCTATCACCATTCTGCTCCTGCCTATCTGTCAAAACTCACAAAACACTATGAACCACCATGACAACTTCGATCTGAAGACCTGTGCAAAGCTCAATGCTTAGATGGTTTGGGAAAAGATCCTTTTCCTTCAATGCAGCAACATTGTGGAATGAACTGCCTGTTCACTTGAAACAAAATTGAAAATCTCTGCACTTTCAAAAGGACTTTAAAGACCTACTTGTTTAATCAATTTTGAAACACAGCCTAATCTTTCCCCCAGTTACCAACTTTGTAAATACCAGATGACTTTTGTTAGCGCTTTGAGCATTCACCTAGAGAAAGGAGTTTAGCGCAGTTTATTATTATTTTTACAGATTAGGAAGAAAGATGCAGCAGAGAGGGTTCGGATGATCCTGGCACAGTCAGGCTGGTAAGGCCCATCATCAGCTCAGGGTCCTGAGTACATGCAGCCCAGACAGCGAATGGGACTTCTCCCAGGAAACGCTGCCTAGTCGGACCAACCAAGAACTTTCCGGAGAATATGATGCCTCCCCAACACTGCAGCGTGTGTCAGAAGGGCTGTGCTTCCCGGCGGTGGAGAACCCGGACACGCTCCTGATCTGCGCCAAGAGATCAGGAGTACCCAACCATGGGCACCGAGGACAATGGGGAGCCTGATGACAGTGTACTTGGGATGCAAGCGAGATATTTCAAAGGCGAGGTCCGCATACTTGACATGCGTTTCCTGAATCATGCCAATCACTTTGCTGTCAAAAGGGACAAAAAATTCAATGACATAAATAAATTCATTGGCTTTATCAAAAACGAAAAGTTCAGGTTTGTTGGTTAAAATTCTTCTGAGGCTGTATATGGGCCTATTCCACAAAAGTTTTAAGGCAGCATTTTCCATAAGGCCCTGGGCATGATGGATGGACCTCGTGGTCAAAACCACAGGCATGGCGGTAGTAAAAGCAACGAGCCATGCCATCATATCGTTTAAGGTATGCTGTTTGTACCAGCGATCCATTGATCAACACCATGAGAAGCGATCTGCGCAATTGGTGTCTTACAAGCATGGGTTACTGAAGACCAGATATAACCCGGGTCTTCACGGGTTCTCATTTCTGGACAAACGAGTACGCGATGACTAAGTTGGAATGCACAAACCAATAGTAAAACCAGTTTTAGGGTTTGTACAGTGTAATGTGTTTAACAACTCACAGCATGTTAGGTGGCTCTCACCACTGTCTACGTTCAACCTTCTCACAACCACGCCTACAACTTTAAAACGCGAAAACATTTAGCTGTCTTTCCAGACACCGTCTTTACTTATATGGGTTGAGCGAATAAAGTACATTGTATATAACAAACTCGCTCCATGTTACATCATAAAGTGATCGTATTGAAATGCATGACAGCGGAACTGCATTTAACGTCAGTGGATTGAAACATTCAGTTAGCAGATGTCGTATGTGTGAACCTTGGCGATAGAATTCACTGACCGGGTATATTCCAGATATACGTCGGCGGTCTGTAAATATTCGAGTCTGGACCAGACAATCTAGTGATTAACAGCATGAGCATCGACCTGCGCATTTGGGATACGATGACATGTGCCAATCAAGTTAGGAAGTCTGACCACCAAATCCCGTCAGTCGCCTCAGCATGGGTTGCTGAAAACCAATTCTGACCTGGATCTTTACGGGTTTCAAAACAGAATGAGTGTCATAACCCTGCAGGCGTACTTTATTCCGAAGTTCGCTAATCCCTGACTGCTTGACGAACTAATGATCAATCTATTAAGGGAAAGCACGCCGCCTCTTACGACCAGCATGGGTTGCTGAAAACCAATTCACACCCGGATATTCATGGACATGTTAAGTTATAATCAGATGGTTATATAGTACAGTAAAAATACTTTATCTCAAAGTTTGATGTTTCAAAATGAAGGTTGGTCCATGCTTATCCCTTATCGCGTCATCAGTCATGTGTCAAACTTCGGATAACTGGAAGTATCTACGTATATGTATATATATAAGGTTGTAGATACATGCCTTTTAAATACGAGGAGTTTAATGCACAAAGAACTTGAGTTACAACAGAAGTCTTGCCATTGTTCATCCCAGCTGTGTGTAGCCTGGGTTGTACCAGCATATATGTAGTTAAACGGACTTCAACCTATTCTGCAGCGAATATTCTCACGGTTTCGACTTACTAAAATAAACACGGGATTTGACAAGTCATGGTAATTACATATCTTGGTCTTTCTTTACGGCAAACCAGGCGAAACTAAATACTTTCCTTTCTCTGTTCATTTGTTTTTGTTATTTCGAATGGACCTTCTCAAAGCAAGTTAGTGACTGATCCTTAATACATTAATATTTAATATGTTTCTGCCGAACTGGATGTGTCGAACTTCTGGTTGACTCGAAGGTCCGGGTTAGAATGAACCTTCAGTAACCCATGCTTGTCGTAAGAGGCGACTAACGGGATCGGGTGGTCAGTCTCGCTGGCTTGATTTACACACGTCATCGGTTCCCCTTTGCGCAGATCGATGCTCATGCTGTTGATCACTGAACTGTCTCGTCCAGACTCGATTATTTACACACCACCGCCATATAGCTGGAATATTGCTGAGTGCGGCGCAAAACTAAACTCACTCACTCACTCTATGAACCAACCTCGAATGTAGCCATCTTAGTATAGTATCAATAGTAGGTTGAACCGATTCATAAAAGAAATTGGCCAAGTTGTATTAGAGCTTCTACTTCCCGGTGGGCTAGCCTAGTGGTTCCACTCATCACGCTGAAGACCCGGGTTCGATCCCCACATGGGTACAATGAGTGAAGCACATTTCAGGGATCCCCCGCCGTGATATTGCTGGAACATTTCTAAAAGCAGCGTAAAACCATACTCACTCACTCACTCAAGACAAGATAATATTAAAACGTTCACCTATAAAATGTCTTCCACAAAATTGTTGAAGTGTTGTAAAATCACACTCTTCATTCAATAAACTCTAAATGTTGATACTGTCGTTTACTGTAGAAAAAGATTAACCATAGTAATATTTTTGCTATCTTATAATGTTTTTTTATCAGGAAATCTTTATAAGTATTTGGCAAAAGCTTCAAAGCTATCCCTTTTGAATATCTCTAGCTGGTCTTAGTGGATAATCATGTCCAAATCTATACAGTCATGTTGGCTTTCCAAGTGGACCGAGTCGAATCGCGTTACTCAGTTCCTACAATGGACAGGCCTATCCTGAGTGAACCTATAACGAATCAGGTGTTGCGTTAATCAATTCATGAATGTGCATCAGTGCATGAATAAACGGTTAAGATCAGTGTATGAAATAAGCCCAAACCCATCCACACATCTGGGCTGGTAACTTCAAAAACTTACCAGCCCAGAAGAGGTTTAACAAGTCAGTGCCAGTGGGCATGTTATTGAAATATTTTTTTCACCCGTCCATCGGGCTGGCCAGCTGTAAAATTAGACCATCCGGCAGAAATCTAGCCCGTCTCAGGCGGCCTTATTTCATACACTGTTAAGAGTCACGGTCCTCCTACCCCTCACTCCTTGCCTTAGCGACCCTCGACGGACCAGACGAGTGACAACATGGAATGGTAATATGAGTAGGTAACTGTTGTAGGTGCCTGTTGTAGGGTTCACTGACGCCCGAAAGCAGTTACGACACTTTTAACTGCCTGTGTTCCAGCCACTGTGTTCGAGTCACGGTGGTGTGAAGCTGCACGGAGTTTTCAGTTGTAAGAGATTCGCACGAAGAACAGCGCTGTAAAGAGATCTCAGGAATGCTTGCGTTTACTTGAAGTTAAATGTTGTGGGCGTATACACATTGAAATAAATCTTTGATATTTTTTCTTGTTTTCAGGTGAGGACACAAAGCCAATGTTGAGTCACTCGATTCAGATCAGCCTATTGTCACTACCTTAGTCAGAAGACATGATCTAACACAATAAGAATTCACGGGTATTCCATTACACCTAGAAGTTTACGAGAACACATGTCTAACGGATGTTTTCCTCCATATACTAACATATGTTTTTCTCCAGATATTAGAACCATGATCACTTCTCTATTCCTGGATAAAGGTATACTGGTGTAATGAGTACAATTATTTCTCCACTGCACTAAGAATATGCTCCACTTGCACACAATGACCTGTGAGAGCAAGAATATTTTCCGTGACTTTAAAACCCCCTTTTAACTCACGATCCCCACAAATGAAATAACACCAGTGATTATTTATTTACTTATTCATGTATTTATTAATTTACATGGTGTGGTTGGGGGTTGGGGGTGGGGATGGGGTGATGTTGTACCCATGTTCATGCTGTAGATGGGGCGATGGAGCTGCCCAGTGATACATGTATAAGCGTTCGCTCGTCACGCCGAAGACCCGGGTTCGATTTCCCACATGGGTACAGTGCGCGAAGCCCATTCTAGTTTCACCGGGCGTATTATTGCTGGAATATTGATATATACGGCGTAAAACCGTATTCACTCACTCACTCATTCATTCTTGACATTGAACTAAGTAGTACTATGTTACCACTACACAGAGTCACAACTCCGCAGCATAGCTGTTGTATCTTTGATACCATACATGTTATGTGTTTCAAGATTGCCTACACATTCTGTTCTGTACTCACAAATTTTTATGGTTCTTTTTCCTTAGAGCCTGAGCATTTCAGGGTTAAGGGCAAACACTCATCTTGTGTAACATGTAGTTTGTTCCTGTCGCTCCGTGGTTTGTTGTACACGTCGTCAGCCACAACCACGTGATCTGTGAAGAGTCACGCGTAGATCAGAATGAAACAGATCATACGAGATCGAGGAAGGGCGCGATGACATGGTATCAACCTGTTTCCACACGGATTGAACAATCTAGCCTAAAGCATTCACGGAAATAGAAATCAAATAGTTTTTGCCTTTTTTTGTTTCGTAGTTTTGAACACAACTAAATATTCTATGACTATCGTTTTTCCCAACTTTTGTTTTTCACTATTTTTGTAAAATCATCCGAAATAAATTAGATTGCAGGAGAGCAAATCTTGTTAATTTTACCTCTTGAAATTTCATCAATGTCAAAATGGACGTTTCTGATGCAAGCTATAGTATGCAAATGAGATGCACTCTCCATAGGCTCGAGTACATAATATATTTTATGACGAACGTCATATACCATTAATTCTTTATTTCTTTGATTCTAATTAATGATCACGCCGAAGACCCGGGTTCGATTCCCCACATGGGCACAATGTGTAAAGCCCATTTCTGGTGTACCCCGCCATGATATTGCTGGAATATTGCTAAAAGCGGCGTAAAACCATACTCACTCACCCACTCCTGTCTTTCGTACGCACGCTATGTAACTCATGTGTACATAAAGAAATGATTTTGGTAATGGGGTGTTTCCACCCCATCATCGCCTTATCGTTCTGTCATCGAATCAGTCCTTATCTCTTTATCCACCCGTGAAGGTCCGGGTTAGAATGAACTTAAAATCAGTAACCCATGCTTGTCGTAAGAGGCGACTAACGGGATCGGGTGGTCAGGCTCGCTGACTCGGTTGACACATGTCATTGGTTCCCAATTGCGCAGATCGATGCTCATGATGTTGATTATTGGATTGTCTCGTTCAGACTCGATTATTTACAGACCGCCGCCATATAGCTGGAATATTGCTGAGTGCGGCCTAAAACTAAACTCACTCACTCACTATCTCTTTATCCTGTGTTGTGATCGTCACCCATTTAACTGTGATCACCATTCATTATGATCATCATTTATTGTGATCACAGAAGTGATCACTTGAACAGAAGTGATCACTTGCTATCCATTTTGAAACGTCGCATATATGGCAGTAAAGAAGTTGTAAATCCATAAATCTTCCAAGTACCGCTTAAGGGCTATCCATTTAGATATGGCCACTATCTATTTAGGCCTCGACACTATTCATTTAGCTGTCATTATGTCCATTTTGTTATGATCACTATCTATTTTGTACACTGGGTTGGATCAGTATCCATGTAATTGCAACCAAGACTAGGTGGAGGAATCGTTAGGATCGAGTTTCAGTCGTTTGGTGATCACGGAGACATATTTGAAACGTTTGTTAATCATCAATCAATTCCAGAAAGTTCACTATCGTTTTTACAACCCGTGAAGGTCCGGCTCAGAATGGACCTTCAGTAACCTATGCTTGTCGTAAGAAGAGACTAACAGGATCGGACGGTCAGGCTCGCTGGCTTGGTTGACACATGTCATCGGTCCCTAATCGCGCAGATCGATGCTCATGATGTTGAACACTGGATTGTTTTGTCCAGATTTGATTATGTACAGGCCGTCGCCATATAGCTGGAATATTGCTGTGTGCGGCGTATAACTTAACTCACTCACTCACTATCATATTGACAATGAATGCACTTCCATACGTATATATAGCTATGTTCTGCTGAAACAGTACGGTATGTAAATCCCCGATGGAAATAAAGTCTAGGGTTGAAAACGTCCGAAATTTTGCTGGACAAGTCCAATTTCCAGGGCCGTACATTGTACAGCTGCGTATCAAAAATTTGTTCACTTCATAAATGGAATCGCTTTTAGTACTTTTACATTAAAGTACTGCTTTTAATTTAATTCCAGTGTCTGTTTGCAAATCGTATTCGTAAATTATGCATTCAAATCAGCTCAAGTTGTGTGTTCTCATCATTGCTGTGCGTTTACACAACTTAGTAACCGCTCTGATACATTAACGGAATCGCAGGATGAAATTCAGGAGCGGCGCTCATTGAGAAAGAAAGGTGAGTTATACTTTTATTTTGTTATTGTGCTTAAATTATGACGTCAACATTTGTGAGGATATATTTAAACTATCTTCTGGCAGAAAGATAGAACAGTTACAAATTTCATGCCATCATAATTAAGCGTATAAAATCTTCCCTGTAAGAAATCTGAACTTTTCTGCTTGAAAGTATAATGTTTCGTTTCCGGGATGCTTTTAGTCTTCGGTTTGAAACATTTGGTAACGCACAATGTGTCAATAATAAACTGTCGTGATGTCTTTACAGAATGGATCAGGCAAAGAAACGAAACTGGACAAACTTGGAACGGAGCAGGATTGTGACATTGAGGGATACAGGGAATAAATGGATGACCATTCAGAAGTTTATGGCGAGAGAATACAAGTGTGATGTCTCAGTTAGAGGTATGATCAAGTTATATAAGAAATACAAAGAATCTGGCGGTATTGAAGATTTGCCAAGGTCAGGCAGACCTCGATGTACTTCAAGACGTGAAGATCGAATAATCAGGAAACTGTCTGAAAGATAGATATGCTACACTGAACATTATTCATGGTAGACTAAAGCAATCAATGAGTAAACAGGTTAGTCGGATGACTATCTCTCGTAGACTACAAACATTTGGGTTAAAATGTTTTGTCCCTGCCAGAAAACCTCTTCTCAATAAGAAGCAAAGAAAACAGCGATTTTCATGGGCTAAACGGGTCAAACAGTTTCGGCTGCCGCAGTGGAACAAGATTTAATTTTCTGATGAATCCATTTTCCGTTGCTTCAGTATCCGAAGACGCATGAGAGTTCGACGTTTCAGCTATGAACGCTACAAAACAACTTGTTTACAGAGCACTGTAAAGCACCCCCCTCAAGTTCATGTCTGGGGGATGATTTCCCACAACGGGCCAGGGATTCTGAAAATTGTTCCAGGAACATTGAATAGTGAACGATATCAACAACATATCATCAACGATATTTCAGGTCTTGGTTCCTGTCTGGTCTTTCCAGACAAAGTCTTTGTGTTCCAGCATGATAATGCTCCAACTCAAAAATCCAGATCTACACGTGATTATCTGGTTCGCAGGGAAATTCAGGTGCTGCCATGGCCGGGAAGTTCCCCTGATATGAATCCCATAGAGACAGTGTGGGATATCATTGGGAAGAAAGTAGCTAAAGATATGCCTACATCAAGCCATATGAACTCCGTCAAAAAACATTGGTATTCTTTGCCAAATTCAGTGTTCAAGAATCTCTACAAGCCCATGCCAAAGAGAATCAAAGCACTGGTCGCGGCCAAAGGTGGAGCTACTCATTATTGAATAAAGTTCACACATAAACTACTTCTCATTGTGTTTTCCTTGTTTTCTTTTGCTTATTCGAGCTTAATATGAATGGTTTGAGTGGATTTCCTTGGGTGAACAAACTTTTGTATGCAGCTGTATTTTCTTCCGCCGGGCTGCGTATATGTAATTTCAGCAAGGTAGACATTCCCACACACGGTTGAGTGAAGACAGTTCGTGTCAGAAGGACATATAATAACTGGAATACACTCGAGACAAGATCAGCTGAACACGCAGACCCAGTTATTGTGACTAAGAGGGATGTCTGTTTTGGGAACACGATATTATAACATTACACATTTTGCAAATGACGTGATGAGAGGGTTCTCTCGCCAAACTGAAGGATCCGATTTGTTTTCCAATGTTAATGTTTGTTTATTTGTTTACTTGTTGTTAAACGCCGCACTCAGCAATATTCCAGCTATATGGCGGCAGTCTGTAACTAATCGAGTCTGGATAAGATAATCCAGTGATCAACATCATGAACATCGATCTACGCAATTGGGATACGATGACATGTGTCATTTAGCCTGACCACACGATTCCCTTAGTCACTTCTTACGACAAACATGGGTTGCTGAAGATCAATTCTAACCCGGATCTTCACGGGTCGCCTAGTCAGCGAGCCTGACCACACGATTCTCTTAGTCACTTCTTACGACAAACATGGGTTGCTGAAGATCAATTCTAACCCGGATCTTCACGGGTCGCCTAGTCAGCGAGCCTGACCACACGATTCCCTTAGTCACTTCTTACGACAAACATGGGTTGCTGAAGATCAATTCTAACCCGGATCTTCACGGGTCGCCTAGTCAGCGAGCCTGACCACCCGATTCTCTTAGTCGCTTCTTACGACAAACATGGGTAGCAGAAGATCAATTCTAACCCGGATCTTCACGGGTCGCCTAGTCAGCGAGCCTGACCACCCGATTCTCTTAGTCGCTTCTTACGACAAACATGGGTTGCAGAAGATCAATTCTAACCCGGATCTTCACGGGTCGCCTAGTCAGCGAGCCTGACCACCCGATTCTCTTAGTCGCTTCTTACGACAAACATGGGTTGCAGAAGACCAAATCTAACCTGGATCTTCACGGGTCGCCAAATCAGCGAGCCTGACCACCCGATTCTCTTAGTCGCTTCTTACGACAAACATGGGTTGCTGAAGATCAATTCTAACCCGGATCTTCACGGGTCAACAAGTCAGCGTGCCTGACCACCCGATCCCGTTAGTCGCTTCTTACGACAAGCATGGGTTGCTGAAATCTAACGCGTTAGGACGTGGAGCTAGGGAAGTTTAAAGTTGTCAGCGATTCTTCCCATGATACTACACGGTGATTCTTTTCAACCACCATCCTTATCTGTAATATCTACTACAACCTTCGCACTAATTCCGGAGGAGGTTGCACAACTTTGTTTTACGCCGTTTTTAGCAATATTCCAGCAATATCACGGCGGGGGACACCAGAAATGGGTTTCACACATTGTACCCATGTGGGGAATCGAACCCGGGTCTTCGGCGTGACGAGCGTACACTTTAACCACTAGGTTACCCCACCGCCCCCTATTATGGCTTTATTATAGTATGACACCATGTCGTATGTTTACAGTATGATAGACACCTATGTTACGCAGCATTAAACAAATCTGTATTTGTTTTGGTTGTCATATGATATAAACACTACTTTCTTCATCTATAAATGTTAGAATATAACTCTGGTTAACACCTCTATTTACATTAGATCATAGTACTAGACTATTTTAATCTCCATGCCCGTTTGCGATTAGACAGGGCCCAGTCGTAAACATGGCCACGACACATGACACTGCAGTAGAAATCCTAACGGAAAAGATAAAGTACATATTAAACATCTGTACACCAAACAGACTGGTCAATGTTAGAGCTAAAGATCCCGTAAGGATGAAGAGCGAAATCCGTTCTGCAATACGGAAGCGAAATAGTTTTCATAAAAAAGCTAAAAATCGAAACCGTCGTTCCGACTGGGCTAATTTCCGATTAGTCAGAAACAAAGTTGTCAACTTAATACGCGTTTCCAAAAGAAAATGTGTTTCAAAAATTGATGATAGGATAAATTCCTCGGTGGGTACAAAAACATGGTGGCGTTTGGTAAAACAATATATTAACAAAAAGTCTGAAAGTAACTACTTTCCACCAATCATATCAAATGACATTATCTACGACGACCCCGTAGACATTGCAAATGTTTTGAATGATTTCATTGTGAGTCAGTCTACAACAGAAAATTCAGATTTACGACCTCCCCAATGTAATTTTGAACTTACTACAGACTCACTAAATGTAGTCAATCTTACACTTGATGAAGTTCAGGATATTCTCTTCTCTCTCGATCCATCAAAAGCTACAGGACCAGATGGAATAGGAAATAGATTTCTGAAAGCCATGGCGAAAAGTTTAGCTCCTCTATTAACAAAACTATTTAACATGTCTCTTCAAAAATTCACTTTTCCAGCCCTCTGGAAGGAAGCGTCAGTCATGCCCCTCCATAAAAAAAAATAGTGTAAATGAATGTTCCAATTTCAGACTGGTCGCACTTACGAGCTGTTTGTCTAAAGTTAGAAAAATGTGTTTTTAAACATGTATTGAATTTCTTTAGAGACAATGATATTTTAACCAATTTACGATCGGGATTTATGCCAGGTATTTGATAAGGTATGGCACAAGGGCATCATTTCTAAACTTAAAAGCTATGGCATTGGTGGATCACTTTTGAATTGGTTTGAAAGTTATTTACAAAACAGATCACAAAATGTCGTCATTAATGGATACAGTTCCGATTATAAACCTGAACTTGCTGGCGTCCCACAAGGTTCCGTATTGGGACCCTTACTTTTTATTGTATACATAAATGATTTAGTAGTTGGTATAAAAAGCCACATACGTTTATTTGCTGACGACACCTCACTTTACGTAATTGTAGATGATCACGATACTGCCGCATCCTGTCTGAACGATGATTTAAACCGTATCTCTAGCTGGGCAGACAAGTGGCAAGTTACCTTCAACCCTGATAAAACCGAAACAATCAATTTCTCTCGTAAACATAAAAACGACACAATTCCGACCTTGAACATGAACCAAACCCTAATACGAGAAGTGGAAAGTCATAAACACCTGGGTATAACTCTACAGAGTGATTGTGGATGGAAAAGTCATATTGAAGATATTGTTAAGAAAGTTAGCCCCATGATAAATTGTCTTCGAAGTTTTAAATATCGCCTCTCCGGAAAAACGCTAGAAAACATGTACAAATCGTTTCTGATGCCGATATTTGACTATTGTTGTCATATCTGGGATAATTGTACAAATGATCAGTGTCTTATTCTTAAACGGTTACATCTAGATGCACTTCGTACAACATGCGGCGCAGTTCGTGGCACTAGTCATCATAGGTTATATATCGAAACAAAGTCTAAACCATTAAAAGAAAGGAGGCGCGACATTAAACTAATCAATTTTTACAAGATGAATAACGATCTCGCACCTGACTACCTCTGTGACCTTGTCCCTAACTTTGTCTCTGAAAACAGTCAATATAATCTCCGTTATAAATTTAAGTTACAAACAATAAATTGTAGGACTAAAATATATGAAAAGTCGTTCCTACCTGACACAATTAAAATTTGGAATTCATTACCTGATAATTTAGTATTCGCTAACTCAATGGGTGAATTCAAATCTCTGCTTAAAACTGATTACTTATCTAGATCTAAATTATGGCAGTCGATTCTGTCAGATCGTACACTGTCGACTTAAGCTCGGCTGTAGTGATTTGAATGCGGATGAAGTAATTAGACACATTTCTAGCAACCCTTGATGCGCTTCTGGATGCCACAATGAAGATACTGTTCATTATCCTTTTACATGTAAGTTATACACTGCTATTAGAAATAATACCTACTTCTATGTAAATGGCCACAATCTCCAATCTGTGTTATACGGAAAACCTCCGGCAAACAACAACGTCAATTAGAACATAATAGAGTCCCTGCATCAATACATCTTTAAGTCTAAACGATTTGACAAATTATACTAACAATTATATGCAATCAATTAATGAAGTGTAGCTGCAAGCTCAATGTATATAAGCACCTACAACGCACATATATGATTTAATTTGTCGGTTTTTGTATCCAGTTCTTGTGTATTTGTTTAAATGATATATGTACTGGTGAGGTATTGATTTTTAGCAAAGTTCTGCTTGTTTACCAAACCAGATTCTCTAGGAATAAAAATATGTTTAAACCACATGGCCACGAGAGGGGTACGAGACACCATCCGGCACGAGTAGTTACGAATGAGATCCAATAACTCCCCTCTGAGGCACAATGTCATTGAAATCTTCTTCTCCTCCACAACACTAAGCGTTCTTAGAACTACTTTTCTTAAGCAGAAAATGTCGCCTACATATGCACTATGAAAGTCAGTCACACGGTGTATGGTAAACTCATTAACTGAATATTTCTATCGAGTCGTCGATGTTTACGAGTTATGGCACACTGTAATGACGTCGAAACCGTCTCATTAGGAATTGTCCCCCACACGCCTACTCCAAAACCGTTTACAAATATGCTTGAGCTTATAATGTTGTAAGCTTCATTTAACACACTGGGCAACAATCGTATTCCGTTCTTTGAATTTTGTGAAAGCAAACAGAGGTGCGAGTACTGGTTTTACCCCGTCACCAGTAAATAGGCCATTACGGCCAACACGTGAAAGGGTCAGTGATTGACGATAAACTGTCAACACAGATTTTTATGCTAGGCGCGGTTGTGAAGTTTTGGTATACGTTAAAACGGATATAATGAAACAGTGCAATAAGAGTACATGGTGTGATTTTGTTTACATAGGCGACAGGAAACGTCTCGGATGCGGTGAAAGAAAACAAAGCCGCTAAGATGAATACTAAGAGTATCTTGCAGGTCCAGTTTGGTGGTTATTTCATATTCTATTTTCGCTTGTTTTTGGGGTTTTTTGTAAAAATTAAATGTAAAAGTCAGGCAATGTATAAGACATCGACTACAGTGTTGTTTTAATGGCTTACATTGTCTCAACTTGCATCTGACCACAGTTACCTCCCTTAAGTTTTACCCCTGACCCGGAAGGACAATTTTCAAATGAGCTGTTCTGCCTGTGCAATTTTTTCCTGGGTGAATTGGAAGGACAATTTTCAAATGAGCTGTTCTGCCTGTGCAATTTTTTCCTGGGTGAATTGTGGCTGTTTCTGTGAAAGATCGAACATTCTACTGTATTTGAAAATCTTTATGTCCACAATCTGCACATGGTATTGACTCCAGCCCTCCATGATTTGACTTCAAGTTCAAGGCTGTTTAGTGTCTTTCGGCTCTAAACTTCCGGGGACCATTGTTGACAGTTGATACAGCTACATTGAGATGATGAATCCAGGCCGATATTTTGCCGGTTAAGTGACAAGAGACAAGACGGTCAGCATGCAACAGGAGAACAGCGTACGACCGATGTCAACTATGGTGGACTGGAAAATAATTGTTGTCTGAGGCCAACTCATGTGCGAAGGGAGACAAGTGTCTGCTAATGTGATTGAAAGCATGCAGAAGGAGAACAGCCTATGGCTGACACTGTCTCTACTCAACTCTAAGTCTCTGCTAAAGAGATTGAAACTGCAAAGGGAGAACAGCCTATGGCTGACACTGTCTCTACTCAACTGCAAAGGGAGACAAGTGTCTGCTAATGTGATTGAAAGCATGCAGAAGGAGAACAGCCTATGGCTGACACTAGTTCTCTCAACTGCGAAGGGAGGCCACTCTTTCCTAATGAGATTGAAAGCTCACAAGTAATTATATTTGCATCATTGCAGTACCAGCGTTAGGGACCGATCATAAGTTATGGTTAGTGGGGTGATGACGATTTTAAGGGGTCACCCATTTTGTTCTGGGAAAGTAGGGGGTCATCAATTTTGTACACATGCACTAGGGAAGGTCATAATAGAATTAAAAATTATTCTTAAAAATTATGGGGGTCATTAATTTTGCGCATGACAAGCCGGGGGTCACTTACCTTGTACATAAATGTAGGGGGTCATTCACATTGTACATGCTGCTCCATAAAAATCATCATCACCCCACTACCCATACATAATGAACGGTCCCTCACGGTTGTGCAGACAGCGAACGAATCATGGGGTATCAAAACCCAGCAACTTAGGTCAGGTGGCGTGGTTGGTGTGGTTGGCTGACGTCTCCGACGACGGCGTTCCGCTCGGTATATCAATCACTGGATTGTCTGGTCTTGAACAGGCCGCTGGAAACAATATAGCTGAGTGCAGCTTCAAACAATAAACAGACCTCGTGACTAGATATCCCGGCTGTGACCTCCATCCAACAATCCCTGCGTGTGGCCGTGCTGTTCCTTACCTTCACAGGGCAGTATACTATGCAAGTGTACACCCAGTTCGCTATTCTAACGGTCCGTGAAGATCCGGGTCAGAATTGATCTTCAGCAACTAAATTTACTGTTCGGGCTCGCTGACTTACATGATGCATGTCATAGTATCCCAACTGCGAAAGAAAGTGCGAAATGGTTATAGTGGAGCGTCCGACCGGAGAGCGGAAGGTCGCGAGTTCAATCTCGGAACTGATGACTAGTCGAGTCAAGACTCCATCATTTACCGACTTCTTTCATACTGCCGGAACAATGCGGAGAGTATCTTTGAACAACACATACTGAGCGACAAAACAAAGTATCCACATGCGTTTGATTGTAGTGAATAATGAAACAAACGTGGAATCTGCTTTGCTGGTGAGGGATTTACGACTTTGAATTACGTCTGTGTATAATGAGTGAGTGAGTTGGGTTTTACTCCTTTAGCAATGTTCCAGCAATATCACGGCGGGGACACCACGCATTGTACCTATGTGGAACATAGAACTCGAGCCATCGACATGACGAGTGAATGCTTTAACCACTAGGCCACCCGACCGCCAGACTTAACAAAGTCACTTCTCCTCTTGTTCAGCAGTAACTGTTGTATTCTGTGCCTACTAAGTGTAATAACATTCCGTGCCTACTGAGTGTAATAACATTCCGTGCCTACTGAGTGTAATAACATTCCGTGCCTACAGAGTGTAATAACATTCCGTGCCTACTGAGTGTAATAACATTCCGTGCCTACAGAGTGTAATAACATTCCGTGCCTACTGAGTGTAATAACATTCCGTGCCTACTGAGTGTAATAACACTGTCCGTATATGACCAGTGAGTGAGTGAGTATGAGTTTAGCAACATCCAAGCAATATCACGACAGGGAAGACTAGAAATGGGCTTCACACATTGTATCCATATGGGGAATCGAACCCCGGTATTCAGCGTGAAGAGCGGACGCTTTAACCACTTGGTCACCCAACCGCCCCTGACCATACCTATTGATCTTTGTCGACACCTACTTTTGATACTGTCAGCCGTCAGCGGAACAGCACTCCAACGCACATAGAGGATCGCCGTCTTTCGCAATCCCCAAATCATAAGGTCAACAATGTATGATTTACTTGCACAATTGTGAGGGTAAATGCTAGTAAATCTGAACAAACATTTCACATTCACATCACACGATGTCAGCTGAGTGGTATTATCTGAGAAATATATTTATACGGTTTGAAATGCGTGTCAGCTTTGATGGACACAGAACAAGTAAAGTAGTTTCTCAGACTGTCTTACTTACCTCGTGGGTGTGTTGGACTCGAAGGGGTCTTCAGCAACCTACGCTATTTGACCTTATAGATGACTAACTGATCGAGTGGCGGGGGTCGGAGACATGGTTTATTATGTTCACTACCATGTGGGTATATGATATTCTCAGAACCGCGAAGATCCGGGCGTGAATTTGTCTTCAGCAACCCATGCCAATCGTTAGACTGACTGAGTATGGTTTTACGCCGCTTTAAGCAATATTCCAGCAACATCACGGCGGGGGACACCAAAAATGGCCTTCACAAATTGTACCCATGTGGGGAATCGAACCCGGGCCTTCGGCGTGACGAGCCAACGCTTTAACCACTAGACTACCCCACCAGTCGTTAGAGACAACTAACGGGATCAGGTGGTCAAGCTGGCTGACTTGGTTGACACATCGCATCCCAGTTGCGTAGATCGACGCTCATGTTGTTGATCACTGAATTGTCTGGTCCAAACTCGATTATTTACAGACCGCCGTCAAATGGCTTAAATATAGCTGAGTGCGGCGTTAAACATATAAACAAACCAGATGTTCTTGTTATCAATCACATGTTTGTCTTGTCAAGTCTCTCGAGTCACATGTCTGTAACTTACTGCCTTAACAACAAACAACTATCCTGTACGTAATGAATAGGGTGGACATACGGGAGAATGGACGATACAATGGACATATTTCGCTCATATGACGAGACAACTCTTGGGACGACAGTAATCCAAACATAACGAACATGCTTATCAAGACCAACAAGTCCACTTGCTCCACTCTCCAATCTTTAGTGGAAATCCAAACAGAACGAAATGCTTATAACGGACACAGGTTATAATAAACTAAAATTAGGGGTCGCCTAAGTTCGTCATAACCGTAGTTAACTGTGTGGCTTTTAGAAAGAACTAATGGAAATGGACAGGGTTTTTCATCACGTTGAAACATTGGACTTGTTATTACCAGTAATTTGTCTCATTAATGGATGGTGCTGTCGAAATAAATTAAAATGGACTTGGTGCTGTCAGAAATATGTTAAATTAATGGAATCAGTAATATGTTAAATTAATGGACTTGGTGCTGTCAGAAATAAATTAGATTAATGGAATTTTTGTCAGCTGAATTAATGGACTGGGTATTGTCAGTTATAATTTGAATAAAATGTAATTCGATTGTCAGTAATAATGTTTATCTCCTTATTTCCAGGGCGTAGGAACGGTTTTCAGAGCAGGGTGGCTAATTTATGAAAAGTATTGAAAATCAAAATGAAATTTAGTTATGGTTAGATATCGTCTTTGAAACAAAGGGGGACTACTGGACTACGCCCCTCGTAGTAGTAAGTTGAACTACTGGCTGTAGTAATGAAATGGTATCAGTAGTCGTAGAATTAAGCACGGTATTATAGAATTAATGAATGGGTATGGCATGGTCACGGTGTATTATCAGTTATACGTGGAGAATGAATGGGTATGGCATGGTCAGTAATAAGCTGAATAAATGGACAGGGTATTATCAGTAATAATTTGAATGAACGGGCTTGGTATCGTCAATATGAAGTTGAATGAATGGACTTCGCATTGTCAGTAATATGCTGAATGAATGGACACGGTATTGTAAGTGATCAGTTGGATGAATGGACTTCGCATTGTCAGTAATAAGTTGATTGACTAGACATGGTATTGTCTGAAATAAGTTGACTAACCGGACTTACATATTTCGCGTTTCACGTTTCCTTAGTTATCAAAGGTGAATTACATGCATACACGTTTAACGCGAACCATTCCTTTCTCGATATATCGTTTAGGACGAAATTTAAGACGGGTCCACTATAGCCTTATGCCTGTCTAACAGAGCTGCAACACCAGCTTGACAATCTGCTTGTTCCGAACTTTGGATAACTCGACAGAAAACGTACCCCTGCACCATCAACTCGTCACTCTGCTAGTTTCGAAGTCTGGTTAACTCGACAGCAATCTTAACAGTGCTGCAGCATCAGACTGACACTCTGCTTGTTTCGAAATTTTGACATGTCGAAAGCAATTTTGCAGCGTCAGCGTTTCTCTCTACCATGGCATCATGGCGTCACTTCCGTTTTTTTAATGACAGGGAGACGCAGAATGCTTAACAGTGCTAAAGCATCCGTTTATCACTCCGCTTGTTTCGAGGTATGTATCACTCGATGGTCGAAATGACTTTGTTAAGAATGTGTCACGTTACCTGTATATTGCATGTAAACTACGTTTCAGGTTAAATGCTTACGCCTGGGAATATTTTGCAACTTGAGAAAGATTCAGTGATCACTGAACCGAATGAGGACACCGCCACCCACCCCCTACCCTCCCAACAGGCGACCCGGCGGACACATCCAAGCGATGTAAGTCAACAAAACCATTTCACCTCTCTGTCAACATAAACAAAATCCTTTCAAAGTCACTTTAGCATGAAGTGCACCTTATAGCGCCGTACATGCAGTTAATTCATACAACAAAACAATCCGATTGAACGTATGGAATGAATAGATTCACTGACCTGTTTTCAACTGTGGGATATACTTACAAAATTATCTCTCCTTTGGTATGGGATACTCATGGTCCGCCCATTGTGTCATCTCTGTACCGCATTGAATACCTCGAGAACGTGGAGCTGGGAGCCATTCTGGAGATACAGTAAAACAGGTTTAGGTGTGGGTCGAGCAAGTCCTCTACAACTCGGCGCTCGCTTGTCTGTCGCTTTCATGAAGGTGAGAGTATAGTTTTATTGCCGTATGAATTGTAGTTCAATAGTGTTAGGAAGTCGTTTATGGACTGTACGATGCATTGTGATGACGATTTTATTGGCATTAATTGGTGATTTAGTAAGTCAGGATCACCAAATCCGCGTTTTAGCATTTAGTATAATATACTTCATTTCAAGAGTTTAGACTCACTTAAAACATTCACTATATGCATGCATATACATATGGTTACATCAAAGATTGATTTCTCCACTAACTTGGGGGAACCAACTGCAAACCTTATGCAGATGAATTGCATGAGGAACATGCATCAAATTGCTGAAAAACATGTGAAAATATCGTGCATTTGACCAGCTGCGTTTTGGTGTAAAGTTTTGTTAAGAATTCGTCACTTTTCACTGATTTCTATCATTTATTGAACTCATGACTATAATCTTTTCAACGTTACGGATTCGTTTTACAATACATCAGTTCATGTGTAAACAGTACCTTTAAACGGTATGGACTATTTTGCAAAATTTAGAATAGAACAGTTGAAGTAAGTGGCTATATTTACACTAGTGAGTCTAAACGTTTGGAAGGAAGTATAGTATTAAGTGGACTCCGCAATATTCTTCGTACCATAGGTTTGGTACCTCCCAGCCTGACATTATTACAGTGCGTGGGTTTGCTGGCAGAAGCACAGCCCTTGTGACACTCGGAGTGATGCAGGAATTCTACAGATTGTTATATATGTTCTTGGTGGGCACGACAAGGCACGCACCCTGGTAGAAACCCCATTGACCTGATGATGAGCCTTACCAGCCTGACTGTGTCAGGATCACCTAAACCCTCTTAGCTGCATTTTTTGAAAATCTGACGATAATGATAATGGGTGCAAGTCAGCGTTTTTGAAACGCATTTGTCATAGGGTTATGCACATGCATGAAACCACGTTTATACTCAAAACATACAAAATACCATTTTGAAGTAATTGGCTCTTTAAGTACCGATCTGAACTAACAGTACTCTTGACTAGGTGTCGAGATGATTATGTTTTGAGCATATTTGCAGAAATTTTGATTAAGGGTTGACTGCGAGATAACTACCCGAGATATGATTATGGTTTCCGAAGAGCTAGCAATAGTTGAATGTATCACACAGTTCTCATGTATATGCGTATATACAGGTATGTACAGACATTTACACACGCGTGCAACCATCATCCATCCATGAAACCATCCATACATCAGTGTTATCCATCTACCCATCACCCACTCTCCCTCCGCTCCTACCATTCATCTACCCATCACCCACTCTCCCTCCGCTCCTACCATCCATCTACCCATCACCCACTCTCCCTCCGCTCCTACCATCCATCTACACATCACCCACTGTCCCTCCGCTCCTACCATCCATCTACACATCACCCACTCTCCCTCCGCTCCTACCATCCATCTACACATCACCCACTCTCCCTCCGCTCCTACCATCCATCTACACATCACCCGCTCTCCCTTCCCTCCTACCATCCATCTACACATCACCCACTCTCCCTCCGCTCCTACCATCCATATATCCAGTCATCCGACCTTTCATTTGTTCCTAACCACCATCCACCATCCGTTCGTCAGCTCATCCATATATCCATGCATCCTTTTATACATGACCAAAGCACCATCGACCATCCGTTCGTCCGCCCATCCGTCCATCCATATTTAATCTAACCATTATCAAAAATCCATCTGTCCACCCGTCCACATATCCATCTAACCAGGGGGTGGTGTCCAGGGGGTGGTGGCTAGCAGCCTAGTGGTTAAATATTCGCTCGTCACGCGAAGCCATGAGTTCGATCTTAGATGCGTACAATGTGTGAAGCCCATTTCTGTTGAGCCCCCCCCCCCGCCCCTTGCTAAAAGCCGCGTAAACCCATACTCACTCACTCTAACCAGGCCCCACCCTCAATCCGTGCCTACCTACCCATCTATCCTTCCATCCAACCTTCTATTCGTCCACCCGTCACGCCTAGACATCATAACATCCATCCGTCAGCCCATCATCATATCAAAGCACAGAAACATCACTGCAACCATCCATACGTCCATCAATTCGTCCACACAGGCATCCATCCATCCATACGTCCATCAATTCGTCCACACAGGCATCCATCCATCCATACGTCCATCAATTCGTCCACACAGGCATCCATCCATCCATACGTCCATCAATTCGTCCACACAGGCATCCATCCATCCATACGTCCATCAATTCGTCCATACAGGCATCCATCCATCCATACGTCCATCAATTCGTCCACACAGGCATCCATCCATCCATACGTCCATCAATTCATCCACACAGGCATCCATCCATCCATACGCCCATCATTTCGTCCACACAGGCATCCATCCATCCATACGCCCATCAGTTCGTCCACACAGGCATCGATCCATCCATACGTCCATCAATTCGTCCACACAGGCATCCATCCATCCATTACTAAGCATGGGTGAGCCCGCCCGGCTTAACGCTGAATGTGATGAACACTGATGTGTATGTACATCCACTGGACGTGAACCTTCTCAAGCGTGTAATACACACCCCTCCCAAGGTGAACACATGCCAATAGACGCGGCGAGTTGTGGACTGGGATTGTGTCGGGGGGGCTATTTCAAAAGACTGATTTTAAAACCATTAACGTTTTACCTGGTTTATCCCACTTGTACAAAACGTCGGAAAACCTGGCTTTGACATACGTCAGTGTCTGCGGTTTTTTGCCTGGCGTAAATAATGGGATTCCAAATACAACCTTTTTCACTCCAGTTCATCGTCATGCATACCATTTTGTTGGGCGCTGAGGTAACCAAGGGTTAAATCATTGTTTCGTTAAGACTGTCTTTAATTCCCTGGTCAGTTAGTCACTTGAACTAGGTCCATTTTGCAGATCGAATTCCTCCCAGTGGTGAAAATAACCACACTTTGTAAGACCTCCCTTCACTAAAAAGGGGAACATCATTTGAACGGATAAGGCTCAGAGTCTTCAACTGTTGCCTGTATATTTGCATTTTGAGATATTCTTAGTCATTAAATCCATGCGTCGTCAAAGTAATGCGAGAGCAACATCCCAGTCTAAACAGCCATTCCTTGACACATTGAATATCATCTTGAGTGGATGTTTTGCATAACATTCAAATTGTTTTTACAAATCCAATTTGTTTTTATCTACTCACTTCTTTGTAATGATGGTGGTGGGGGGAGGGGAGGGGGTGGTGAAATGAGGGGGGAAAAGATAGATTTGATCATAGCATTACTGTAAATTTGGGTTTAAAGCCGTACCTAAGAATATTTCGCTCATATGACGATGTACGTGCGTGTGTACGTGCGGCTGCTTGTACTAGCCCAGACTTAAGCTGGTTTTATAGTGCTAGCCCTCTGAGATACAATGCCGTAGTGAAGCATGAATACCCCACTGAGACATTGACCAAGTCGACCAGTCCTTGTTGTACCCATTAATACCGATCACCAGGCAGGGATCAACAAGTACCATATATTAACATCTTTTGGTGTAAGGTGGCCTGGGATCGAACCCGCGACTTTCCTCTCTCCTGGCGAGCGCTCTAACCACTACACCATAGATGCGGTCATGATATTTCTTTTAATGTCATGTTTTTATAGTAAGGGGCGGTGGGGTAGCCTAGTGGTTAAAGCGTTAGCTCGTCACGTCGAAGACCCGGGTTCGAATCCCTACATGGGTACAATGTGTGAAGCCCATTTCTGGTGTCCCCCGCCGTGATGTTGCTGGAATATTGCTAAAAGCGGCGTAAAAACAAACTAAGTCAGTCAGTTTTATAGTAAGGACCGATAAAGCAGCGCAGTAGTTGAAGCGTTTGCTCGCTGAAGCGA